GGTGCTGATACGACAGGTGCAATGGGTGGATGTTTTAGGAAATTTTCTCCCTTTTTAATAGAAAAAGAAATGTGCATGCAATATCCATGAAATAAGGAAATTAAATTATAGTATCTGTGGAAGCACAATAAAAAGCTATAAATGTAGTAGGAATATGCCAGACACTATCAGGGGGAATGTAGGATGCATACAGCACAAGACATTAAGTGTGGGCTCTGTAGCAATGTATCTTGAGAAAGCCATTTGATGTTTTTCTGTGCCTCAGTTTCCTCATTTCATAAAAAAATTTGATAGGGGGGCCTGTTTGATAGAGTTGTTTTAGAATTAAATGATTTGATTTATATAAAGTGTTCAGGAGCATGTAGGCACCAAGTACATATGGGCTATTATCAGTTTAATCAATAACTCCTAGATGACTTGGTACTGTCAAGGTGATGGTGAATGGTACAGCAGAAAAGCTCGGGTGCTAGAATTAACCAGTCTTCTGCTATTTAACTATGTTTCCTCAGGGAAGTCTCATAATTCTTATTTTCCCTGTGTATAAAAGGGAAATGATAATAAAATAATAATGATGATAAATCTAATTGGGTGACCATTCTGTGATTATTATAGCAAATGTCTCCGTGGGAATATTGTGTATGGCCCTAAAGCCTTCTTGCTCAACATACATTCTTGGTTAGAGGTTCCATCTGGCTGTGGAAGGTGCTACTTAAAGTGGGAGAGGACCAGAAAGGTGCTTTCCTTTGTTCCCTTGGTTGGGAGGCACAGAGCCCAGTCCAGGTGGATGAAGCTAAATGTGTTGGTACCCGGTGGGTAGGGCCGGTGGAACTCATTCTGCAGCAGACAGCGTGAAGTAGTTCTCTTGCCAGTAGCCAGCAGCAGGTCCTCCAGGGCTTCACTACTGGGAATGGAAGGAACAAAAGGAGTTGGAAGGTCAGAACAGCAGGCCCTAATAAGAGAAGCTCATGGAGGAAGAGTGGGCTGGATAATCAGATTGATCCTTTCCAGTCAGAAGCAAAATTCTCACCTCATCCCTCATCCTGCTCCATCATTTTCCTCTGAGTTCTTAGCTCTTGGGTCAAAAATGATCTCCTCAGTTTGTCCATGTTTAATTCTGGCCTCAGGGCAGCATCCTCTGTCCAGCATCCTCTGTCCAGCATCCTCTGCAATTTAATCTTGGAGATGCCATGAAGGGGCCATTTGGAGAAGTCAGAGAATCCATGCTTGTGCTTTCCAGCCACGTGTACAGACCATGTCAGAGGAAGACTGGGGGAGAGGTTCCTCTCTCCCTCTCCCACACAATGCCTTGCTTCACCTGGCAACACTAAACTACAACTTGCACACTGGTGTGCAAGTAGCTCACACTCAATTTGTGCTCCACTACAGAAGAGAGAGGAAGGAAAATACTGACGTACTAACTCTAGACAATCTGGCTGCACAAGAAAACATCCTGGACAAGAAGAACATTACAAATGAGCCAGACCCGAGCCCCTTCCCTGAACACTAGCATCAGCATCTCAGGGCATAGGCCAAGGTCAAGTTATTGGCAAACTGACTGTTCTAATGAGCAGTCAGGGCTGAGAACCACAGCTATGAAAAATTTAAATGGCTTATGCAAATGGAGAATGGTGAAACTATTTCATCTGGATTGGAAAGATGTTGGCTGCAAGCAGAATAATTGGAGAGGACCATTGAGATCTGCTCTTGACTGGGGAGAGCAGCAACACATAAGGTTTCTATGGGAGATACAGACCTCCCTAAACTCTATGGGTCACTCTAGGTTGGAAATCCCTGATATAAGAGATGAGGAAATCACCAGAATTCCAGGAAACTCATTCAGTGAAACCACAACCCCTAGTCTTCAATCATCCACCTAGAAGCAATTGCTAGGATGGGGGACTCTTTTTGAGAACTTGAAGGAATAAGTACAGGATGCAAAGAGCCAGAAAACCCACATGCGTGTGGTACATTGGGATAGAGTTGAGGAAGACAGGGCCAGTAGCAGAGATACTAGCTACTTAGGGTCAGAAGAAACGTGACTTGATTTGATGACTTTGAGACATTTGGTTCTCTGGGGCGATGCTCTGAGAGATTATATGTGCAGTGTGGGAGCTTTATAAGAAGATCTAAAACAAAACACATCTGCACACATATTACATTACATGCAGAGCCTTCATGTAATAGATTTCATCACTGTGGAATTCACTGAGAGTTGAGGAAAAGGTGCTGAGAATCAGCAGGACCTTTCTGCTAATAAACCAGCTGGACTTCCAGGGAGAACAGCCTTGGCCTTCTAGGTTTCAGACTCACTCAAAGCTCTTCGAGTTGATTCCAGACCCTCCATTTCCTATGAGGTCTCTTGGGATCACTCTATTCAGAAGCTACACAAAGCTGGACCCTGTCTCTTTAAATAGTAGAGGCTGAGAATCTCTCAGGCTACCATGACATATCCCAGCATTGGACCAGCCCCTGGAAAAACTGGAAAGAAGCCTGATCTGGCTTCAGTTACAGGGAGCACCACCAGCGAACATCTCCGGCAGCCTAGTTGGAGGCAGCGAGGCTTAGAGTCTATCAGCTGTAAGTCTCTGGCTGTGTTGTGGGAAGGGCTTGCCTTGCTACCCTTTGCATTTGACTACAAAGATATCTGTGTGGAAGAAGAAATTACGCTGTTTGGCCTGGTGAGTTTTATTGGCAAATTGTGCCTCTGGGTGGTGTGTGCTTACAGAGAACAACCCAATTCCCCACCCCCTGCAAAACCAAAAAAGGAAAGGATTGCAATGGAGACAGTACATTTGTATAGGAACTGACTGTGGAGTTAGAAGGGTTTTTATATCCTTGTTTTAAGAGCTGGATATAGACTTTGGCTTGGGAGGGAAGAGAGCCATTTGAGAGCATCTAAACGCCCTAAGGCATCCAGACTAGAAGGGAGAAAGGAGTGATAGGTTTGTGATGGAAAAGAGCTGTGTGCACACCGCTGGCAAGTGATCAGGGTCTGCAGGCTAGGAAGGCCCTTCCACTGGTGGCCCTGTAGTGGGCTCTGGGTGTGGCCCAGAATGGTGGGTACTGCATGAGCAGCATTTCCTCTTTCTTGCTGGGGGCCAGGCAGAAAGCAAGAGGCAGCAAGGGACTGATGGGTCCACCTGTCTAGTGGCTTACAGTGTGGCCATGACTTAAGTGGTCATTGATTAAACTATTGGATGCAAGAGAAAGGAAGAATTGAGTTGTGTGTGGACTTAATGCATGCACCTTTCTAGGTGTATAACAATACTTCATGAAAGAGTTTACTTGAAAAACAAAGGAAAGAAAATTCTGAATGAAATATGCTGATATTTGTTAAGAGCTGAGAACAGTATTGGCTAGGTAGTGACTACATAAATATTGACTGCATAAATAAAAGAATAGCATGAAGCAAGGTACTAATTTTAGGGCAAATCTGATCTATAAATGACCCTCAAAGTAGAGAAAAATGCTTTCATTTCTTTAGTCTTTCACTTGTATATGTTTCTCAGATAACTGTACAACTCTGGGCATAAGTCATTTTAGTGAAGAAATCGTAAAGTCTTCCTTGAAGGGGCGGATGTGAAAGGTAAATGTGACATTATAATAACAGCCTTCCGAATTTGGAGACTGGCCTCTTATTTTGATCCAGACACTATGCTAACCTGTTTGCACATACGTCTCCTTTAATTATCACCATCACCCTCTGAAACAACATTAGCCCTCTCTACAGATCAGAAGATGAAACCTCAGCAAACCTCAGAAATTGTCCAAATTCCAACAGGAATAAGCAAGGCATTCAGGTTTGCCTGAGCTCAGACTCATTGCACCACACTGCCTTTCTCATCAGCCAGGTAAATAATGGGCACTGAGTAAAAAATTGACAAATATTCTTTTTAAAAGACCATTCTTTGAAGAAAGCTTCAGGGTTTTTTTTTTAACTTAATGAATAAGAGTATACAATTAGTTAAAATAGCCATTTTTGAATAGTAAAATAATAGGGAATTATTTGGGTCACTTATGTAGTAAAGTTTTAGGATGCAGTACACTAACTAGCAAGGAGGGAGTGCGTGAGTGTGTGTGCGCGCGCGCCTGTGTTTGTGAAGTGCAGCATCGGGCGTTTAATATCCACATTCGGATGTGCCTTTGGTGCTTCCAGTGAGCTGGCCTGAGTGTTCCGCGGCGCAGAGCTCCTTGGGCGCACTGCGCTGCGCAAGGAAGAGCTAGATTTTCTGAAATGGTGGGGGGAACCCCCTCCTGCGGGTGTAAATCAGCTGATTTCCCTGGCTGCTTTTCTTCCACCTCGAATGGTCACTTCCCTCTCTCCCCTACTCCTACTCCTGGCCAAGGCTGGCGGCCAAACCAGACTGCCTCAGGCAAGCTTGTAGTCTGGTTTTGCCTAAGCTAGGAGGAGCCCAGAGTTCAGGGCACACTGTCCCTCTTCCCCAATTCTCGTCCGAGCAAAGCCCGTAGTAAGTGGGTCTCCTGGAATTCCAGGAGGCTGGCACGCTTCTTAGGCGCAGACACTGTTACGATGAACAGGCGTTGTACAGGCGTGTCCAGCTAAGAGGCAGGCAAGCCAGGCGTGCCAGGACCCGAGAAGAGAGGGCTGTCTTCCTTCGCGGGCCCCCAACCCCTCCTTTGCGTGTAGTAGAGAGCTCCAGGCTCAGCCCCGGCGTACGCCTATTCGGCGTCCATCCGCCCCGAAGCGCAGCAGCTCTGGGTACCGAGGTACCAACACCTAGCAGGCTTTCCCAAATGGGTTGAGGGGGCCGAAGGGCCGATTAATCGGTCAACGCTTAGTTTCTGTGAGCACGGCGGAACCGAACCGGGGGGAGGTGGGAGGTGAGAAAGTCAGCGGCCTCTAGTTTCCAGTCTCTGTCATTTTGCAGAGATCGGCTTTTTCCCGAGGCGCAGGGAAAGCTAAGTAACTGTCTCTGGCCCACAGCCCCTCCCTCCTGCCCCCTCTCCTCCCCAAGTCCGGCCCTCCCACACGCCGACTCAGGGACACACCCTGCTGCAGCAAAGCAAACAGGGCGTTGTTCCCGTTAAAGGGGACGCCGGGAGCCTCCCACTGCCCCCTTGCTTCGCGCGCGCGCAGCCCCGCAGCACAGCTGTCTTTGGGAACTCCAGCAACCCAGGGAACGCACCCGAGTTTGTGCCTGCCTGAGTCAACTCGAGCCCGGACAGCTATTCCTTCGGGCCGTAAGTAATTCTGTGGGGAGAGTTGGAGGAGAAACGTGGGCATCAGCCGTCGGTGGTGTGCCCGAAAGCTGAGGACAGGCGCGGGCTCTGGCCAGGTCCCTCGGTCTTCTGTCTGGAGCTCGGAGACCCAGCCAGTCTCGCTTCCGTTTCCATGCTACCCCGAGGGATACACGTAGTGAGAAGTGTGGTTTTGTCTGTAGACCGGACAGGGCAGGGGTGAAGCCTGGAGGAAGATACCTAAGGGCGGCGTTGTAAGCCTTGCTGGGGAGGCATTGGCTCTGGGACGCACTGGTGACACTGTCCCTCAGGTAGACATCCCGGGCGGGGCCCGGACCCCTGTGATCCTAGCCACAGACTCGAACTCTCCCGGCTGTTAGGAACCGTCAGATTTAATTTTAATCCTCTGGAAGAAAACAGAAAACCTTGCTTATCTCTTCTGTGTATTCCAGGGTTTCTTGGAATGTGTTGCTTGTGGACAGAAATGGAGGCTTCTGAGATTGGGTACTTTAAAAAACGAATTGAACCTTTTTCTGGGCCTAAGCCTCTGTCCTTAACTAGTGGTCCTCACAGACGCAGTTAGTCTTCCAAAACTGTATTTGTCCCCAGGTCATCCCAACCTGTCCCCCCCTCCCCCCCGTCTGTAAAATGAGGTTCTAGGTGGGGACCTCATGACATCGAATGGAAGACGGACTGCCGGCTCTGATGGGCTGGAATTCTTCTCGTTCCCAAATCAACCCTTTATTCTCGGTCTCTCGCCAAATATCTTGGGACAAGGCTCCTGGGCTCCTGCGCTGCCGCTCCCAGTCTGGGTCTGGATAGGGTCCTCGTCTGGGGTCTATGTGCCCGGGGCTCAGACTAACCCCGCAAGAGGACGCACGTGGGGTTCACCCAGGATTGGGATGTGCCCGGTGCCCCAAGTCCCGCTGGGCTGCCCAGGAAAGCGCTTGGTGGGGGAGCGGGGAGAGCGTGGAGTCCGGGCAAAGCTCCCTGGCTGTTCTTTCCTTTCCACACTCCCCCGGCTCTGCGCCTTCTCTCCCGAGCCTTCAGGCCAAGCCGGGGCCAGGACTGTTCCCCAGGCTGGCAAGGTGGGAGCTGCCCCCCTAAGCTGGGTGGAATTTGGAGAGTAACTAACGGAATGCCTTGCTCACTGGGATTTGGGAAAGCAGCCTCCTGGCAGCATTCTTCTTTCGCAGCAGGCGGCTAGTGACCCCAAGCTTCTCGGGGCGCCAACTTCCCTCCATCCCGGGGGAATTCGTCTTTTGATCCCTGGTCTAGGAGGAGGTGGCCTCTCTTCTTTCCCAAGTCAGGCTGTCTCCGGCGGGCGCCCGGGTCGGGTGGGGGCGTGAGGTGGCCTTCTCTCCTCATTCTCGAAACTCCTCTCCTCCCGGATGATTTAGATGTACACACCGCCTGTTTTGTTCAAAAAGCAAAAGACGTTCCGTCTCAGGCGGGCCCAGCTAGTTGCTGGGCTTGGATCTGACTGTCGGCTGTCGCCCTCTCTGGGCAGCCAGGAGGCTGGCTCCAGGCCGCGCTCCCCGGCGTGGGCGGGAGGGCCAGCGGGCAGCGCGCGGTGCCAGGCAGGGCATTCCGCTGGAGCAGGGACCCTCCCTCCGCGCGCGCTTCCCTTGCTCGCCTGGCCGGGCCGCGCAAGCTCTCCGGCCATTGCGCCCTCCTCACACCCTGCTTGGGCTCTTTCTCCGAGCAGGCAGGAACTCCGCTGAGCACACCTCGCCGCCAGAATGCTCCTCCTGCTGCTGGGAATCATCGTCCTCCACGTCGCTGTGCTAGTGTTGCTGTTTGTCTCCACGATTGTCAGCGTGAGTGCCCGGCGGCCGGCAGGAGAGGCTCGGGCGGGCAGCGGGCAATCCCTCCTCTAGACTTCCAGCCCGTGCACCCCTGGCTCAGCACTGGGTTGTTTGCAGACAGCGTAAAGTCTCAGATGCCCCAGGGTGGTTTTTGCAGTGTCTGACAATCTGCCTCTTTTCAGTTGTTTTGAGAAAACCAGAGCAGACTCAGGGGTAGAAAGCAAGCCAGCGCTGGAATAAGTTAGCTGTCCAGGCTTCTATTTAAACCGTATAATTTCAGGGCCCATCTAAGGAACCGCCCCAGCCTTCATTTTGATAAGATTGTTTAGTTGTTTTTTTTTTTTTTTTTTTTGATGCGGCCTGGTTAAAGAAGAGAACGCATGAAAATTTGTTTTTCCCCAAACCATGGTTCATATGGCTAGCCTAATTTGTAAAACACTTTAGAACTTGAAATTAGAAAAATTTGCATGTCCCAGGTTTGCTTTATGATGTGACCACAGTACCTTGTTAGTCAAATCTCCACTGATATGAACAGGTCAGCAGAATAACTGGCTACACAACTATCAGATACAAGTTTTGAATGATTTTTCTATGCTAGGAAGATGAAACCCAACTCAGGCAGTTAAGTGCCTATGGCTTTAACATCTTAGTATAAGGCAAGTTGTAAGCATGATTTTCTGGTCTCAAAAATTATTCTTTTGGAAATTTGTGAATTGCTTTATCATTTATAAGCATCTTCACAAGACCTTAATTATGCCTGATGCTAATCTTGTCAGATGAATAGGAATTATAAGTAAGGAAATGGGTTTAGAGAGGTGGTGGTTTGGGGAATGATCCCCAGGAGGGGAGGAGAGGAGATCTAATTATATGGAGTTGTTCTGGTGTGAGCCCATAGCTCTTCTACCTCACTATGCACCCCTGCACATAATAGTGTGTGTGTGGTATTTCTCCATTTGTAAAGTGCTTTTCACTCACAGAAATGTTGGCTTTCACCCCCGTATGTACCAGGTTGCCTCCTCTCTTGTTTCTGGATCATGACTGAACTTTTAACAGTGTCCCGGGCAGGGCAGGGGTGGGCCAGGCAGCCAGGCAGATGAAGCTGGTGCTATTTTCCATGGCTTGGCTGCTCCCTTCACCCCTCACTGCCTCCCCTGATTCTGGATATCTGATTCTTTCTAGCAATGGATCGTGGGCAATGGACACTCAACTGATCTGTGGCAGAACTGTAGCACTTCTTCCTCCGGAAACATACAGCACTGTTCCTTATCATCGGTAAATGGTGAGACTGGCTTTCTGCTTCACAAGCTTGTCCTTAGGTGTCTCTTTCTCAGTCTAGGCTTGGAAACACTTGTTCTCGGAAGACATCAGCTAGAAAGAAGGCTGTTGCTGTGGTGAAGTGGGATGTGACACAGAGCAATGAATCCAAAGGGAGAGGAAGGGGGCCATTGCCTCATTGAGGAAGCCAAGATCCTGGGGTTATTACATTTCCCCTTGTCTAGAAAAATTCCCTGAGTTTCCTCCTGGTCACTTTGTGAAATGCTTTTAGTGAGGCAAGGAATGTAGACACAGGTAAGCAACAAAGGTGGCATAAGAGCTAAACCATAAGCAAATCCCACAGGGACGTGTGATCCAAGGGGAAGTCTTCTGTCTATCTGGCGGTGTCTCCATTTAGAATGTCCTGTCTTCCTGCTGCAGTCACAGTGGGTTGTTGCAAGGCTGACTGGGCCAGCTTTGGTTCCCCTAGTTACAAGACTGCCTTCCCAGGTCTTATGCCTCAGTTAATGCCACTCGGCATCGAAACCTTCTGAGTAGTTCCCTGCTGCAAGATGAGGGGATATGAAGCTATTTGCAAATTTCTAAACTGAGCCTCGTGATCTTTTATCCAGAGTATTATATTTCTCCTCTGTCATCAGCATCTTTCCCTATGAGATATTGGAAAGCAGGCTTACTTAGGATCACATTAAGGAGATAGTGGTCAGAGGAGCACCCAATAGATTCCCCGTCCACAAAGAGGGAGAAGCTCAGTGGGAAGTCTTGTGTCTTTGGGTGCACAGAGGCAGAAGTGAATAGAATCTGCTGTTCAGTAGCTGAGTAAACCCTAACAATAGGTGTTGAGACCCCAGAGGCTTGGTTCGCCTTGGTTTTGTGTTCCAGAGGCTATGCCTTCAGCCTGTAGCAGGAAGTACTGGAGCTGTGACACTGCAGAACTTCCTTAAACTACTCATAGATCTGATATGTATGTTGGAGATGGCACATCCGATGAGAAGAGACCAGTTTAGATCCAGCTCAGTAAAGCCAGCAGTGAAGTGGCCCTTGATTCTGGCTTTGTGCAATGCAGCGCCTCTGCTGGACTCTGTTCTGTAGGCTCCATACCAGAATCATGGAGCATTGGGAGCCAAATACCTAGAACGCCAGATATAAATAGAAGCTGCTAATATACTCATGTAGTAACTTATATGGGGGTGATAGACATGGATAGAAAACCCAGGTTTATGTTTCCACCTTGGCAAAGGAGATAGGTGGGAAAACCCTAGTCCTATTGAAGCGAGCGGTGCTTAATCTTCTCTGGAGTGTGGGAGAGACTTGAATTAAAATCAACCTAGAGGATGCATGCTGAGTTTACAATGTAAGTGGGCAACCAAGTAAATGAAATACTCATGACTACCTGCGAATGTGACGATAGGGCTGCTTGTCCCCAAAGCCACAGCAGCGGGTTTCCCTCCCTTCCGGGTCAGAAGTTCCCCAGACGCTGGAGTCTCCTTACTCGCTACTGCCACCTGGCGGTCACCAGTGGTGACTCGGCCTGAAAAGGGTAGGATTTCTGGTCTTCGTGTCCACAGGCGCCCTCCCCAAGTGGCATCCGGCCATGCGGGGTTGGCACGGAATCCTGGACTCTTGGACCCAGAAGGGGGCAGTTTTGGCAGGCGTGTTAAAGCCAGGCTGAATTTCAGCAGAAACGCGGCGGCAGAGGAAATGCTAAATAGTGCGCAAATCACGCTCAGGCAGGAGAGCGAAACTGCCCAGAAGCAGTTGCTGACCGTTTTGCAAAAGTGCAGACAACTATCACTTGGCGGATAGGAGCAGATCTCAAAGAGGCACAGTGTTATTTTAAGCAGGAAACTTTTCATTTCTCAACTTGATCCTTCTATGCCAAGCTCCTTTTCTTGGGTCCATTTACAGTGACTTTGATGTCGTTTTGTGTGTTCCAAATCTGCCTGATTGCTTTCAGTGGGAGCTCGGGAAGGTCCGATCTCCTCCATATCTGGCTTCTCCGCTCTCACAGTAAGGGTATTCTGAGGCAATCTGGACATGCCCCTAAACAACCCGGGCATGTTTCCACGGAGGCTTATTGTACATTAGAACTTTCCACCCCCCGCCCCCCACAGTAATTATCTTTGTTCACATCTCCCTGTTTTCTCAGCCTGTGTCACAAGCTCTGCTTAGAGAATCCTTGGTGGTGGTGGTAGTGTCTCCTTGGCTTTTTGCATTGGGGTTAATGATTTCAAACCATAAGGTGAAAAAATATAGAATTTTTAAAGCATCAAACTGCCTTTATAAATGAACTACATTTGTTGCAAATCATTTACCTTGCTCCTAGAATTCTTGAAACATACTTTAAAAAGTAATCCAAAGTGATTTTTAAATTGACATTCATTTGCAAAGAATCTATTGCAAGTGTGTTATGTGAAAATACCTTGGTTGGCACAACTTGGCTTTGTCTTTTGTTTTGTGAAAGATCTTGCTTTATTTTATTTTATTTTATTTATTTTTTTGGTACTGGGGATTGAACTTGGGTCCTTGCGCTTGTGCAGAGGGTGACAAAACCACTGAGCTAAATCCCTGGCCCAAGATCTTGCTTTCTTGGCCAGGCTGACTCTAATGCCTGTCCTCAGGGAATCCTCAGCCCTGTCGTTGAGTAGTTGAGACTAGAGGTGAACCTCTGTCCCCAGCTGTGACTTTTTTTTCCCCCTGAAAGGACTAGCTTTTGTGCCTTTGGGGGCGGGGGTCGCCTTTGCATTATTTTCTGTGTAAATAGTGCCTCCTGGCATTGTGATTTGAGGAAGTTTAACATTGATACTATGGAATTTGAAGCAAATGTATCAATTTCCTCCCCCAAAGTCTAGTATCTTTTGATACTAGAAGTAGTTTTAGATTCCTTATTAATTGCCCTCAACTCTTTCTGCCTTCCTTTTTTATTTTTGTTTCTAAATTTATTTATCTACTTTCTGGTCTGTACCTGATCCTGGCAGAAGTAAAAAAAGCTGCTTGGGTCTTATTCATTTGAATGCCTTGCAAGCCATGGAAATAGAAGGACCTGCAAATCAAGGGCCTTGTCCTTAGGGGTAATGAGCCTCACTGAGGAGTCAGGCCTTAAGAATGGGGGAATGATTCACTCACTATGAGGCAAGGTCAGAGCCTAAGGAATGGGGGCAGGCAGAAAGCACAAGAGTTCAGGGGAGGAAATGAAAGGGAAATCTCCAGTAGGAGGTAGAATTTGATCCATCCTTCAAAGGACAGGCAGGATTTAAGTAAATACAGGCAGGGGGAGGATATTCCCTGTCTGGGCAGTGTGTGACCTAAAGCAAGGAGACAGCAGTGCATGGGATGTGGTAGACCAGTTGATTATTATTCTGGATAGAATTAGAGGTGCACAGGACAGACCACCTTCAAACAGTGGTGGCCTAAATGGGCTTATTTCTCTCACTTTGAAAAGAAGCCTGAAAAGAGGTACAGTACTTTCATAAAACTGTCAGAGATCCAGGTAATTTCTATGCCATCTCTTGAGTTTAGCTGTCATCCTCATGGATCAAAGACTGCTAGGGCTCTAACCATCTCATCTATACTCTAAGCAGTATGGTGAAGAAAGCAGGAAGGAAAGGATATGTCCTTTTCCTTTTAAATGGAATGTCCCCAGATATACCACATTTGTTTCTTTTATTAGAACTTAGTCACATGGTCAAACGTACATTTATGTATAAGGAGGCTGAGAAATGCAGTATTCAGTCTCATGGGAAGCAGTTTCTCAGTTGTAGAAATTTTAAAGCAATTTCTGTAAAGCTGTCTTAAAATGCTTCTCCGAGGCTTTACCACCTGTCATACCCATTCATACTCTTTTACAATAGCTCAACTGGGTTGTCCCCTATTTCTAAGTTAGGGCCCGATTCTTAGCATTTTCCAAATATGCCATCTCTGTTGTACCCTAGGTTCTGACAATACCAGTAATCCCATGCTGACCTATACCAGAAACTGTAGAATATCTTCAAGCTTCTTTCTCTCCCACCTCCCCAGCCATGAAGTCTTGCTATTGTTTAATATGTCTCTTCGATCTTTACTTGCAGTCCAGACCTCTCTTCTAATCTAAGCCTGGTTTCCATCCGCCTATTAAGACAGTTCCACTGGGAAGTGGAAGAGAGTTCTTCCCCAGCCAGGATTTTCAAAGTCAGTCCTTATCTGCCTCTTCCAAACCCAACCCTTTGCCACTTTCTAATATTTTCATGAACACTGCTTCAGCTGCCAGCAAGCCAGACATCTAGAATCTTCTTTGATGTGTTTCCTTCTGTCTCCCTTCTCAGAATCATCACAGGCCCCACAAGCTATCCCATCATTTTGTATCTGTTGTCACACCATCTCCATACACATCAGAGTCTGGGATGCAGGCTTCTGACCAGCTGGCTTGTGCCTTTCCTGCTCCTTTGTAATTCACTTTTTAGATTGAATCCAAGGTCATGTTTATAAAATGCAAACCAAAGTGGATCACTCCTGATTTTACAGTCTTTCAGGGACCCCTCATTGGTCTCCATTTACAGATGAAAATCTTTTACAAGGGCCACAGGAACCTGCCTGAAGAACCTCTTTCTGCTTCCCTTGGATCTCATCTCCCATCTCTCTTCTCCTTCATCTTTGATCCTTAGCACTTCGTTAGTTCCCTACATGTGAACTTGCCACTTTTAGGATTCTTTCTTTTCTCTCTCCTTCGCACCTTCTTTCCTTTCTTCCCTCCCTCCTTCCTTCTGCTCTTTCATTCAGAACTGTTTGTTGAATATGTGCCATGTGCCAGATGCTACTGTGAACAAGAGCTTACAGGGAGGGCACTTGGTGAAGCTGTCCATGACCATGGATGACATGAGCACAGAGCTGGGAACTAGAAAGAGAACAAGATGACAAGGAGTCATCTGATGAGCACCTGAGGGAGATTCTATGCAGAATGATATCAAGTACAAAATAGCCCAGGAGGGAGGTGCTTGGCATTGTTGAGGAGCAGAGAATGGGCTACAGCAG